GGTACAGGTTTATGCAAAAGTACATTCCAAGATGTTTAAATAATGAAGAAATTGAAGGATAAGTACAAAACACTACATTACAATACACGGTAATTTTGAAATTTCTTTTTCCTTAGTTGATTGTTAATCAGGCCTGATTGTTATTACTACACACATGTTTGTCAGTTCACGTTAATGGTTGACCATTTCGAATAACCGATCGTATAAAGGTGTAATTGATTGTGCGTCTCCATGTAAACTGCATTATTGATTGTCTCAAAAACGTCATTGATTGTCAAACTATGCAATTGATTTTCTATTGGTGTTAATGATTAACCATTGCGCGAGATTGAAATTAAAGTATAGTTGTTATCTTTGATTGTCCAAAGAAGCAATTGTTTATCAGTTGATGCTATTGAATGTTAATACATGTACAAATAGCGTTCTTGAAAGTTCGTTCGCGTTAATGAAGTTCATGGAAGTGCTAATGAACGTATATTTGCCGTAAATATTTCAGCCGAACCGCATTTTCAGGCAGATTTGTAAAGGAAGATCGAATCATATTTATATGTAACTGTCTTGCACCCTTTAAGTTTTTAAGGCTTTTTGCTGCTAGCCCATAATATAGCAATGAAATTAATCGTCAAGATGAGAATAGTTTTACGGTTGGTTTCTCAAAACTAAAAAGTGCTGACGTTATGTTCTGTCACGCGTTGCGTTAACCGTGCTGATCGGGCATGCCGAGAAGTCTCTCTGTTGAGTGGTGTCATTTGCCAGCGGTGTATAGATCGTTTTCACGAGACGTCACATCATTTCACGCTTTTATTGTTCAAACAAGCTGCCCATTTTTACAACTTATTTCCCATCTCATGACCTCGTGTAAGCAAACATTAATGCACTAAAACCATAGTTTGCAAGCTGTTGCACAACGCATTTCGTAGAGAGCGTTACGTGACCTCATACCCTATTTGAACAGTTTGTGTTTTAATCAAACACGGCAGCATAGTTATGACGGCAGTCAAGATTTTGAATGGAAACAATAGATTTTGACATTCCAGCCAGGTGAAATTTAAGCTTATCCGCAAAAAGAAAACAAAAAAACAAAAATAGACTCAATTCGTGTCGTAGGCTGATTGCAGATCGCGTGAAATCACGAAGAGGTTTGATGTTTTCTCTTTATCTTATCTTTACAAGATATACACGTTTCGTTTGAAAATGATCCCTAAAGTACCAGCAAACAATTTAGACGGAACAACAAAAGAGACTAAGCGATTAAGGAATGATCATAGAGGAAAACGAGGGATTATAACAAAGTTATATTTTTACCTCTCAGATTCAGTGACTATACGGTCATATTAACAAAGAGAATCATTTTGTAATTTCTGCAGGCCAACTGACATGAAAATCATGCCTCAAACTCATGTGCAAGATGGAAAATGGTCGTGGATTGTTTGCATATCTGCGACACTCTCTTGGCTGGCTGCTATGGGATTTGTGTTCAGCTTTGGAATTTTCTTTCCTGTATTTATAGACTATTTCCAAGAGAGCAGAGAAAAGACGGGTAAGAAAATTAACTAATAAATTTAAATACTTTTTGTGCGTTACAGATTCAGGATGTCAAACCAATATAGTCGATCAATCAAGAAATGTTTTCCTCTTGCTCTCTAATATTTTTGCCTGCTTGCAGACGTTTCCGTGCAACAAAGGAAATAGGAGACACCTGCACGCAGACAATAATAGCGGGGCTCCCACGCGCGCCTCGCGCGCGTGGCGCAGAGCCCCATACCCATGGAACCTCTTTTCGTTTGGTTGTCATGTGATTGACCGAGCGTACGTACGTACGTGTACGTACGTGCCCTCTGTCATGTATGCTATCACGAAAGTACCATATGATCAAATTTGAAAATATGAAGTCCGCGCGGCAGACCCTCAAAATTTTCAGGTCGGATCATATCAAACTGTTTCCCCACTGCGATGGACATTTATTTTTGTCGGTTCCAGCCTTGCGCGGCCGCTAACCCAGATGCCCTCCTGAGCAAATTTTCAGAATGGCGGACAAGCCAAAGAGAGAGATAAGAGAACCAAAGCGATTCTGCAACGAATACTCAGCATACACCCCTGTTAAAAAGGTCATTTCACAGAGAAAAGATACAAAATTGTATGATATTGAAGTCACGGAGGTTGACAAACCCAACAAGAGACTGAAAATTCACTACATTGGCTACAGTACACGCTTCGATGAGTGGAGACCCTTCGGGGTTCTGTCCTCGTGTACCGGTTCACCAGAGCCAATACAAAAGACCAAACAATACACAATAGCTAACCGATAACTCCTAAACAAAGAAAGAACAATGGTAATTCCCTTGTGAACCGGTACACCAGGACAGAACCCCCTTCGGGGACGGTGAAGCATCTGAATATTTTCCTTCGAAATTGTATAGATTAGTAGGCTGCAACAAAAATTTATTGGACGACGTTTAGGGTAAAAACAGCAATCTAACCTGAAAAAAATGTATTTATTCCGACTCTTTCGGAAAATAACTTTACAAATCTTACTTGTTTATCTCGTAAGTAAACGATGGTGAAGCGCTTTCCGAGCTACCCGATTCTTCTCCCACTGCTTTCACGCTTATAAAACAGGAAACGAGCAAAAGGAGGAAGGTGTGGCTGTTTTGACTAGCCATTTGACGAGGTTCAATCTGCTCCTTGTTCGACAATTTACATATCAAAACAAAGGAAATTTGTTCCTCTCTTTGATTTTGGCGGTACATTTTCAATTTGCGCTTGCGTAAGAGAGAAATCGCCCAAGACTCCTTGCTCGGTCTTGTTTTGACCACGAACGCCTTCTTAATTTTGACGGACCCGCTCGGGAAAAGGTGAAAATGACGAGGGAAAAACTTTACTTTGTAGTACGAAAATACACAAAATGGAAAGCCATGATATTATAGTTCAATATTTCGGTGGTACATTGTTAACTTTTTATACAGAGAGTCGGCAAGATGATATAACATCCAAAAATCGCACTCGATTTGAGTGGGCCGATGAAGTGGGCGTGGTCACGAAATTCAGTAAGAGACTATTTGTACCCCGTGAGTTTGATATGTTTCGTTCATTTGCGACCGAGTTAGACCTTGTGGAACTCAGAATGTAAAGTAGCAATGCTATAGAATACTCTGCTTGCAAAAGAATGGATATCAAGGTCTTAAAGGTGACAGAACAAATTCTCGAGTCAACGACACTACGATTCTAAAGGCGATGCGAATTATGGACGTAAAGTGAAAGCCGAATTTTCGGACTTCAAGCAGGGCCTAGCGACAATTTGACGATTCGATGGCCCGGTAAATATTATGTTCGAGAAACAATGTGTTCAAAAAGTATTGTTTAATAGAAGATTTTACGTCAAATCGAAGTTTTTTCAGAATTTTCAACATAGCGCTGCACAATTTCTGGCCTTGAAGGCAAGTAAACAACGATCTAAGAATGATGAATTTTACCGCTTGGGCTTTGTACACGTAAGAAATTCGTACGTTTTTCGCTTATAACAGCAAATCAAAAACTGTTTTGAATAAATCTGTCGTCCCGAAATATTTCTTTGCCATTTTAGTCTTGCTCCCTATTGATAGATTCCATGAAACTTGAGATCTCTTCGCTCACGGACAAATTCGCATATTCCATTTTGAAATATGATCCACATGCCATTTGCACACATGCGAAAATATTTAGCGATATTTATCTTTCATCTTGATTTTTGAGTTAAAAGGTAATATGCACCTATCGCTTTTTTCGTCGGAAATAAGTTCTTTAATTAGTCTTCTTTCATTGGAGCTTGTTTTTTGGAAAAGATGATTTTTTAAAATTTACTGCGGATTGTGTTTGCTTTCTTGGTTTCTCCAATATTTTGACTTTTCACAGGTACGTGTTACACGTAAGTGTCAATGGGTTTAATCTATACTGAATTAATTTTTGGCTAAAAATTTTTATATATGTAAATATAAAGAAATTTTATTGCAAAATTTCACTTATTGGGGGCTCCGCTTTTAGGCTTGGCTAAATCTATATATTATTCGTCTGAGACTTTCTCTTTACTACAATCTCTAATTGAGTGCAAAATTTTGTTTCGGAAAGATTTTCTCTTTGTATGGGAGGCCATATCAGTCAAAAGTGGTATGAGTTCACGACTGGTGATCAGGAAATCGATCGCTATAGTTGAGTTTATCGATTGGTGATTGAAAATGTCGATCGATTGGTATCGATTACTGATTGAGAATGATGGTTGCTATGGTCCAAAAAGCATTAAATACCAAGACTGACGATTATTGCTATGGTCGAAAATTTTGTGGAAATGACAGCAGGTCACCACTGGCATTATCCTGTATTGCGATTGCTATTGCGTTAACAATTTGGAAATGGTCCTATAGCCTACTCTCTAAGTAGACTGAAGGACCATTTTCTAATGGAATAGAAGTATTTTCGTCCCCGAGCGCCTGATCCACACACCACAATGCAGTGTTACCACAATGCAGTGTCACCACAATGCAGGGGTGACATGGCGGCCGGTCAAGCTCTCTGTGGCTGGACACTGTTCGTGTTTTGGTGTCTCTTCCTTGACACTACGTCTGATAATAAGCTTGGTAATGAAGTCAGGAACGATAAAGCAACTCCCAGAAATAGGATTTTATGGCAGAGCATAAGCTTTTCAGCAAATTTATCGACGTTTGGCACTTATCGGTATCGCAAGCAACGTGGACGCTTCTATTTACATACTAAAGTATCTTACGCTGTCAAGGGCTCTACCTCTTTTCAAGTCAGTCGTCTTCCACTTTGCGGCGATGTAGCTACTAACCCAGGGCCTTCTAAAACTGTTGGAATAAGGTCTCCTTGCAAAGACTCCGGTAGAACGGTGCGAAGAAACCAGGACGCCATCTTGTGTACTGAATGCAATTGCTGGTTTCGCGCTAAGTGTTTGCATCTATCGAAGGTTTATTTCCGCTACAATAGAGGTTTTGCACAGCAGCCATGTTTGATGGCAGCAACAATAGATTAATTTACCCATGGGAAAAAAATTTCTTTCTTGTGCAAAATATTTTCATTGTTCCTGCCTTCCAACATGGCTGCTGTGCAAAACCTCTATAGTAATTCGAAGCAGAACTGGGTGTGTGGACTGTGTTCGCTTCCGAAGATAACCGCCGAATGTTATCAGCAGAATTCTAATTCTTATGGGGATGCTGACGAGATTGTTTGACGAGAACATGTTGGCTGAAAACGAGATGTGGGCTGATTTCGATGAGATTGTTAAGAACTATGGTTCGAACTTCAAGATTTATTCATTTCATTCATTCATTTATTTGCCATTACCAGAAACAAATTAACCGAATAGAAAATTCGTGATACATCAAAGATAAAAAGAACTATTCTAACTAAATGAAATTCAAAATCAAAGGAACTGAAGAGGTAACAGCAAGGAAGCCTATTAGAAGCCGGGGGCTTATAAAGTATAGGCTTCCTTAAACTATAGGAAAAACCATACAAATCAAAGCTAGGTGCTGAATGAAAATTTAGATTAGGTTAAAAAAAAAAGAGAGAGAAAAAAAAAAAGAAAAGGTGTGTAACTTAACAAAGAATATATTCTTTTTAATATATTTGTTAACGATCTCTTTTATCATATAAAGAGAGCTAAGCTAAATGCGTATGCTTACGACCATCAAATTTATTACTCAGACAAAGATCCGATTGCACTTGAAGAATGTTTGTGTAACGAAGTTGAAAAAGCAAATCAATGGTACAATGACAAGGGTATGATTGTCAACGAAACTAAACATCAGGCCTTCAGATCCTTGGTGATACGGAGCATACATTCTCATTTCCAGTGAAAGAGTCGAGCGACATAATTGGTATGAACATTGACAACAAACTACAGTTTGATAAACACGTATCTTCGATATGCAAAGAGATCAATAATCAGTTAAATGTCATGATGATAAGATTTAGAAAATGGATCTCTAAAGCCACTTTGGTCAAATTGTGTAAGGCCTTCATCTTACCGCACTTTCAGTATTGTTCATCGGTGTGGCATTTCTATAGTGTATGAAACACCGAAAAACTAGATGCTCTTAATAAAAGAAGTCTTAGGTTCATTCTAAATGATGTTGAATCTACGTGTGATACTTTATTGGACAAAGTCAACTGTGCTTCTTTATATAACAGACGTATACACAATATGTTAATTTTACCGTTTACAAAAGTTTATTTCTAACTAAGTATCCTATCTACATGAGGAATATTTTTACTTCTCGTAATACTACTTATAATTTACGCGGTAACTTCATTCTGAAACTCCCTCTCGCTAAGACTACTTCTTATGGCCTTCGCTCTTTTTCTTATCGTGCCGTTAAACTATGGAATTCATTACCGGACAATGTTCGAACCTTGAACCTTAAGGACTTTAAAAAAGCATTAGCTAGCCTTAAATTATTGTAATTTTAGAACATATTGTAATTGAATTCATATTGTATTTTAAATATTCAGTAAATCTATTTACTTTATTTTAGCCGTTAATTATAAATATTGCATAGGATTGTATTTTATAATGTCATTGTATATTATGTCGATTTCTACTCTTAAATTCGAGAAAAAGTAAAGGTTATGTGTGTATGTATGTAAGTAGGTAGGTAGGTGGGTAGGTATGTATGTAGGTAAGTAGGTAGGTAGGTAGGTAGGTATGTATGTATGTAGGTAGGTATGTATGTAGGTAGGTAGCTGGGTATGTAGGTAGGTATGTATGTAGGTAGGTAGGTATGTATGCAGGTAGGTAGGTAGGTAGGTAGGTATGTAGGTAGGTAGGTAGGTAGGTAGGTACGTAGGTAGGTAGGTAGGTAGGTATGTATGTAGGTAGGAAGGTAGGTAGGTAGGTATGTATGTAGGTAGGTAGGTAGGTAGGTATGTAGGTAGGTATGTAGGTAGGTATGTACCANTCATTCACAACACTGATAAAATATCGGGACCTAAACGATCCATTAAGATCACCGATCACTTCACGTGCACCTCCGCCAATGTAATCTATTGCATAACTTGCACTTATTGCAAAAAGATATACATCGGCGAAACAGGCAGAAGACTAGGTGACCGATTCCGAGAACACCTTCGAGACGTGGAAAGGAATGACAAGGACACATCGAAACCAGTCGCTAGACATTTTAATTTACCTAATCATTCTAAGCAACATATGGCAATCTGCGGTCTTTCCTTGCACTTAGGTGGCACGGAAAGCCGTAAAAATCTTGAACAAAAGCTCATCTTTCAAACCGGCAGTCTAAATCCCACAGGGATCAATGAACGCTTTTCATTCCACTAATTTATTCATGTTTTTCTCGTTACCATGCACCCACCAATAACGTAGCTCCATTTTCTGCCTTTAAAAGCACACACAACCCACAATTCCTCTATGCGCTCCGACGAAGGGCTAGCGCTCGAAACGTCAGCTTTTGTAATCATTAAGGTGGCCAATTTACCATTTCAACTTTGTTGATATATCCAAATTATTTCGTTACTCCCACGACGCAGCCCCAAACAGTTTCTTCCGAAACTATCAGCCTTTATTTTTTAATAAGGTAAGCATAACTTTCACAATGATTTTGAAGTAATCGTTAATTAATAATAAGGATTTTAATTCATTTCTAGTTATTATTTTGCAAAATCGACTATTTTCAAAAATAGTATCTCATAAAATTGCTATTTTGATAAGGTTTAAGAAATAAGAGGAGGCCAAAATCCTTGGTGATATACTAATTTGTAATATTTAAATGTATTTTTTGTGACATGAAAGAGGTCACGTTTTCACTGCAGGGTGAAAATAGTCGATTTCGAGAAATAGTAACTCTTCTTGAATTACTACTTTGCGAAATGAATGAAAATCCTTATTAACGATTACTCCAAAATCCTTGTCAAAGTTATCTTTACCTTATTAGAAAATATATCGGCATCATCCTTTAGTTTCGTTAGATCTCGCCTCAATTCGTTTCGTTTCGTTTCGTTTCGTTTCGCAAAATAGTATAAGCCCATTTTGCAAGCTGATATTTGGAGGCAAAGCGCAACCAGAGAGCAACGTTGAAGTAATCTAAAAACCCAACTAAGTAAGTTATATGGGTATGTATACTGGGTAAACGATGTCAGTATTTTTGTCTGCGCATTTTTTTCTTCGATGAAAGACTACCGTAATGAAACAACTGCGGTTTAGACGCGTTCCGAACGTGATCGTAAACTGGGAAATCACGTAACTGTACAGGGTTTGCGTGAAAAAAAAAAAACAACTCTTATCAATAATAGAAACTAACATACCGTGGTGTGGAATGATTGGAAATAATTTGCTTTCTCTACTTTCACATGATGATAATTAACCATCCTTTCTTTTTCCTTTTTTCTTTTTTTCCAGCTTGGGTAGGTTCTCTGGCCATTGCTCTCATCTTTTTCAGTGGGCATGCGTCCGGTGTTCTCGTGAGTCGATTCGGCTGCCGTTTCACTACCTTATTTGGAGGGTTCTTGTGCACACTTAGCCTGGGCCTCTCCTCCCTGGCAACAAACATTGACGTGCTCTTTCTCACCTATAGTGTGCTCTATGGCGTGGGCACAAGTTGCGTGTTCTCTGCAAGCCTCAACATCATCAGCAGGTACTTCAACAAGTGGCGGTCAATGGCCACTGGGATTGTAATGTGTGGTCAAGGAGGAGGGGTCCTTATTCTAGGTCCCCTTTTGCAGACCATGATAGACAGCTTTGGCTGGCAGAACACCTACAAAATAATGGCCGGCGTGGTTCCAGTATTGTGCCTGTCTGGTCTGACTTACAGCCCCAATGTGCAGATACCTGATATCGACAATAATGTGGTTGAAGAAGACGCTAAAATAACCAGTGAAGGGGAAAACCAAAACGAAGGACAAAACGGGGTGGAGTTAGAAGACACTCAGGACCAAAAGATGAAGTCGGGATGGCGTGTGTACATAGCAGTGTGGAAGGAACCGAAATTTGCGGTGACAGTGATATCAGCGTCGGTCATGATGTTTACTCATTATGTACCACAGATTCATTTGGTAATTTTCATTCAGATTAGCTAAAACATCCTAAACAAGTTAATGTCTCATTTATAAATGGTATTCGTTTCTATTTAATCTTCTCTGAATTTTTTATTGCGCTAATTGTTTTTAGGTGAAATATTGCGAGGAAATTGGAATAGAAGCTGGTGCAGCCTCCAGACTCTTTGTCTACTATGGAATTGCTTCATGCGTGGGGAGACTGGTGTCGGGTCGACTGTGTGACTTCGAAAAGGTAAACACATTCTATGTCTACCAGACGGCCGAGCTCGTCACCGGGGCATCAATTATAATCGTCACCATGGCAACATCTTATGGTCACGTGGTCGTGTTTATTGTGATATATGGATTCTGTGACGGGGCCTTTATTACAACACTCAACGTCCTTCTTCTGACGTGCGTGAGCCCACCAAAAATACCTGTTGCCATAAGCTGGGAGATGCAAATCAGCTCATTCTTCTTGGTCAGTGGACCGCCGATTGCAGGTATGTTGTCTCATATAGGTAAAGGGGGTGAGTTTCTAAAGAAAATGTGGTGCTGCGTCAGTGGGAGTAACAAGGCAGTTTGGGTTTTATCAACTGAGTTAATAACGCAGATTAGCCACCGTAAAGGGTTTCAAAGCCGACGTTTCGAGCGTTGACCCTTCGTCAGAGCGGCTGGTTTAGCTACCTTTCAGCTCTATGGCTATTCACAATGGCGGGCTTTTTACTTCAAATTTGGGAAGATGCCTATATTTCAAAGAATGTAATGAAGGGTAAAGTCTGTACCCGAGCCAAAGTGTCCCACCTAGCGGGAGCTTACTTCCGGTTTCCATGTAGCATGAAGCGACAAGAAGCATGACTACTCCCCCCTGGGTGAGATGCTAGTACACCGAAGGGTCACTCCCAAGATTTTACCCAAGAACACAACACACTGACTCGAGGCCGGACCACTCGACCCAGAGTCCAGCGCACTAACCATTAGGCTAACGCGTTTACCAAAGAATTAAATAGATGAGTAAAATAGTTAGGGGTAGTACCCGTCCCCATTAATGTTATTGCATTCAACAGTGTTATGAAATATGTAAGTTGCCCTCTCACCTGACTGCTTACCAAAATGCCTGATAGAATAGAGTAAAAAAAAAAAAAAAACAGCAGAGAGATTTCATTCAGTTATTAAACAAACCTCATGCTCTAACCTCTTCCTTTCTTTCTCTCTTTCTTCATTTTGCAGGTCTTATGGCTGACTCCATGAATTCTTACACGCATGCCTTTTACATGTCTGGCGCTGTGGTAATCGCTGGCGCATGTATTCCTTTCCTGTTACTTTTTATCAAGAAGAAAGGTCCTGTAAAACATGAAACTGTTGAGCTTCTAGACACTCGAGCGGACACCGGTACCGAGCCTGCTTCCACAAATTCTGTTTAGATTACCTTTCCTACAGGTTTTCTAGTAGCCTGCGAACAGGCTTCTAGAGCATTTCTTTGCCCGCGGAAAAGTATGATGCCTCGAGAAACGTTAGACAGGATGCTACAAGATAGTCTTTGGAATAAATAGACTCTCATTTTCAAATTTTTGCTGAGTTTACAAAGAACTCTGGGACTAGAGCCGACCACAACTATTGTTGGGAATATTAGTTACGAGTTGAGTCATGAATTAAATTTCCTAGCAAATTAGTTATGTCACCAAATTGTAAATGATTGCATTAGAGAGTGGCATATATAATCATAAATTGTAAACACCTCCGTAGTTGATTTACTGTAGAAGGGATGTTGTGATTGCACGCCTTTATTCCGCCTAATAAGGAAGGGGAAACGTCCTGATTGGTAATAAGAATTAAATATAGACATATCACAATAGTTTGGCTTGGGATTTTATTATACTCGTGACTGAAGGAAAAATTCCAACCCTGGGATTTTACTGTACTCGTGATTGTAGGAAAAATACTAACTAGTAGTTACTTAAGGCGAACTATGAATACCGTAGTAGATCGGTAATCCTAGCGCCTCATTGCGCATGTGTCGATTAAAACCGGAATTCTTAATGAATTACACACTTTGTCCGTGTTGAAGTCGTAATGAATCATTGTTAAACAAATTTTTCTGTAGCACCATGTACGACGAAAATTAAGACAACTTCTTCTTCTTTCTTACTTGCACAGAAAAAAAAAACAATGCAAAAAAAGTCAAAAGTTTTTCCATCACGACAAGAGAGGTTGTTTCTTGAGGTGGTTTGGGAAGAAAGATTAAGGGGAAAGTTAGCTTGTTCTGCAGAAGAAAAGGAATCGAATTACATGTGACTTTAGGAGCCTTGACGTTCATCATGTTCAGTGGCACAATTAATTCTTTCCCAGTCGAACACTGTAATTTTCGCTCTCTAGTATTGTCGTATTGCGCCGTTTGAATTAAACAAAATCTCTTCAACACAACATTCATCAGTCCTCGAAAAACCACGCGGGAAACTCCTCTTTTCATATCTAAAAGTGGATAAAAAGGAGGAAACTGGTCCTCAGAACTTATCTATGCTCTTAGTTCTTTTGCATTGAAGAGAGAAACAGTCTCGTATGTTAACTAACAAATCAGGTGGATTGTTAAAGAAAATCCTCTCGACAAAATTAACTGAAATTACGACTTATGGAAATGTCTGCCTTTCTGTGGTAGACATGCACTGAAGAGTTTTTTTTTTCTAAAAATTAAAAAGGAGTTGAGTTACCTGACTTTGGCGTTCATCGTGTTCTTCAGGGTATCTTCTATTAGTGATGACCTAAATATTTTGATGTTCTTCATTTCTTATCGTATTCTGCCTCGTCGCTGATGTTGTCTGTTGTTGATTGTTCCCTTGCAGCTCTCGAACTTGAACAGCTCTGCCTAACAGTCTCATGTAATATAGGATCCAAAGTAGAAACATCAAATATACTGCGCTGAACCACTCTTGAGAGAAAGGCATAGTGTATCTGTAAGAATTCAAGGAACTTAATCGAAATTGTCTAAACGGACAATGTCAAGCCTTCTCTTCAAGAGCGCTGATCAACAAAAACGTCGATGCAACGAAGCCGGCGAACATTATATTAGACATTCGATGAATCGTGTTTTCGGTTTTTTAAAAAGCGTAAAATGGTTTGGTAAAACGAAAGTTTAAGAGAAGATGTCACTTGTAATGATCACTCGAATTTTGCCTTTTGAATATCAACTTTAATCGTGAAACGCAACTCCTACTTTTACTCGAAACTTCGTGTTGCATTCCTGTTTTTGAACTAATGTTGCGCATGATCGAGCTCGTGTTACGCGTAGGAGTAAGGCAGTTTCAACACACTAAAAATGGCAAAGTCATAAATCACCGGTAACAGTCAAAAAATCAAATTGCCTCATATTCTAGTATTTGGCAAGTCTATAGGTTTGAAAAAACAAACCAAGACATATGTAGTTTGTTGAAAAATTCTTTTGTTTTCGAGAAAACTAATAAAACTCAATTCACGCATAATCAGTGTCTTCAAAGGTCGAATTCAGCCCATTTTTGGAGGCCTTGTTTGTACTTGTACTTGCTGATTGCAGATCGCGTGTAATCATGAGGAGGTTTGATGCTTTCTCTTTATCTTATCTTTACAAGATATACACGAACATTTTTCGTTTGAAAATTTTCCCTCAAATACCAGCAAAAAATTTAGACGTACCAACAAATAGGACTAAGCGATAATAAGGAATGATCATAGAGGAAAACGAGGGATTATAACATATTTTTATATTTTTACCTCTCAGATTCAGTGACTATACGGTCATATAAACAAAAAGAATCATTCTGTAACTACTGTGGGCCAACTGACATGAAAATCATGCCTCAAACTCATGTGCAAGATGGAAAATGGTCGTGGATTGTTTGCTATCTGCGACACTCTTTTGGCTGGCTGCTATGGGATTTGTGTTCAGCTTTGGAATTTTCTTTCCTGTATTCATAGATTATTTCCAAGAGAACAGAGAAAAGACAGGTGAGAAAATTCACTAAGAAATTCAAATACTTTTTGTGCGTTACAGATTCAGGGCAGATATCAAATCAGTGTGGTCGATCGATCTAGAAATATTTTTCTCTTTCTCTCTAATATTTTTGCCTACTTGCAGACGTTTCCTTTTTCCTTTGTTCCTTCACCGCGAGCAACAAAGGAAATATAACTTTTAGACGAATTTTGAAACGATTCGAAACAGTGTTTGAAAGAATAGTCTGGTTTTAATTTCCTGGGTCATTCGTCATTCCACTTTCAGTTTTTACCTTCAACTTCTCCTTAACGCGGTTGCTTGAGTTAGGGACTGTTTGGTAAGTGCTAAATGGTATTACTGTAACTGAAGTTGAAATATATTTATTAATGCATATAATAGAGACGAGCTTTAAACGATATGCCGCTCAACCAATACTTCGGGGGAGCGAGATACTTGTAGATGAAATTAATGTCGTAGTAGGATTGGGTCCGCTATATAAATGTTTCAACAGAACAGTATTTTCAGGCAGATTTGCCAAAAGGAGATCGAATCATAATTATATATAATTGACTTGGTGCATTTAGGTTTTTAAGGCTTTTTGCTGCTAGCCCACATTATAGCAATGAATTTAATCGCGAAGTGAGAAGATGAGAATTAGTTTTACGGTTGGTTTCTCAAAACTCAAAAGTGCTGACGTTGAGCTTATGATTTGTCACGCGTTGCGTTAACCGTGCTAATCGGGCATGCCGGGAATTCTTTCAGTTGTGTGGTGTCTTTTGCCAGCGGTGTATACACGTTATCGTTCAAACAAGCTGTCTATTTTTACGACTTATTTCCCATCTCATGTCCTTGCGTAAGCACTTTTATTTGAGCAAAGAATTTCCTTTTGTTATAGAAATATTAATGCACTAAGTTTGCAAGCTGTCACACAACGCATTTCGTAGGGACCGTTGTGTAACCCCATACAATCCTTTGTACATATTTGAACAACTTGTGTTTTGAAATCATGCGCAGCAGTCAAGATTTTGAAAGGAAACAATAGATTTTGACATTCCAGCCAGGTAAAATTTAAGGTTATTCGCAAAAAAAACAAAAAAACAAAAATAGACTTAATGCGTACCATAGGTGGATTGCTGATTGTCGATCGCGTGATATCATGAGGAGGTTTGATGCTTTCTCTTTATCTTATCTTTACAAGATATACACGAACACATTTCGTTTGAAAATGATCCCTCATGCTCAAGTACCAGCAAAAAATTTAGACGGAACAACAAAAGGGACAAAGCGATTAAGGAATATCATAGAGGAAAACGAGGGGTTATAACATATTTTTATATTTTTACCTCTCAGATTTAGTGACCGATTGAGTCAGTTTGCTAGACATAACGTCTCGTAGTCACGTTCGACGCACTAAAAACTACTATAAAACGAATACAAGAATTGTAAAAACGTGTAAAATGGTATATAAAAAGTCACTTGTAAAAATGTAGCGGAATTCCAAATCGATTTCGATCAATTACGATCCTCATCAGTAGTACTCCGCCATGTTTAAAATACTCATAAATAATTGTTCATATAAGTGACTCTGAAATGTCCACACTTCTTCCAGGCTTCATGTAAGCGGTCATGATGTATCAATCACAGCTCGTGGGATTTGAAAAAAGTTCCATTCGTTCTTGGAGTTCATAAGCGAGTCTTCGTTCACATTATTTATCCTCACTCCTTCAGTTATTTGTCTCAGCATCGCGTCATTGTGATAAACCCCCGTCACATCCATTCGGAACTGCTTTACCTCTCTATTGTGTTTCTCTTTACAGTGTTTCCACAATGCAGATCGTTCTTCCTTATTGTTAAGTGATTTCGTATGCTCTTTCCCTCTGGTATACGCGCTCCTGGCTGTTTCCCCTACGTATACGCTGTTACACTGGATACACTTAATCTCATACGTCACACTTTCTCTATCACACGGTCCTTTTCCACCTGTGCTACACACTGGGCAGTCTTCTCGTCCACACTGTCGCGGTTTAAATGGGTCGGACTTTTGGAGTAGTCGTTTAATGGCGATTCCGGCTTTCTCCACCACTTTAATATTGAAACCTTGCTGCTTTATTTCTGTCTGGTATTCCTTCCGTAACCGTGAGTTGGGCGTAGCTGGTACAAA